TAAATTACAAGAAAATTTGGCGAGATTATGAGCTTCGAAATTATGGTTTCTCCGCTCGTGAACAAAAGAGACCGAAGCATAAGTGTTCCTTCGACCCATTATTTCATGCATAATGGCCGAGTATGGACCTCCTGTCCCTTGGTTTATATCCATCACCACACCTTGGCAATCCGAAGCTACTATCAAGTTTGTTCCATGTAGATCAGCTGCAAGTGCTAACGCCTCCCTGCATGCAAGTGTCAAACATGTTGGATATATATTGTATGGCCTCTTGGCAAAGGATAAATAGGGAGAAATCATTAATTTTCTTCAGTAAGGGATGTCCACAGATTGTGAGATATGCAGTTAAGGGGTGTCTGCAGGTGCCCAGTGAGTCTTTTAGTGACATGTATCTTGGCATGCCCACGGATGTAGGACACTCAAAGAAGGGCACGTTCAAATATTTGAGTGATCGAGTTTGGGACAAGGTGAAGGGGTGGATGGGAAAATGCTTATCAGCTGATGGCAAGGAGGTGTTAATTAAGTCAGTAGCACAAGCTATCCCTGTATACTCGATGTCTTGCTTTAAACTCCCTAGAGGCTTATGCAATCACATCAACTCTATCATCAGAAAGTTTTGGTGGGGATGCAAGTAGGGTCAAAGGAAGCCGGCGTGGGTATCGTGGGAAGTGATGACAAGGCCAAAATACCTGGGAGGACTTGGCTTCAGAGACCTGGAACTGTTTAACCTTGCACTTTTAGCAAGACAGGCCTGGAGGGTTCTGCAGGATCAATCTTCGCTTAGTGCAAGGATACTTAAAGCCTCCTATTTCCCCGGTACAGATTTTCTTACTGCAGAGCTTGGGTCCAGACCATCACAGATTTGGCGAGCATTATTAGAGGGGCGTGACATCCTCAAGAAAGAAATTATACGCAGAATTGGCAATGGGCAGTCCACTAACATTTGGGGCCATAATTGGGTCCCAAAGGAGGGATCACTACGGCCTATTGTTTCCTTGGTCCATGATCCGCCGCAACTGGTTTCTGACTTGTTACTACCAGCTTCGGCATCCTGGAATGAAGCGCTTGTGCGCTTGATTTTTGTGCCAACCGACGTGGAAGCTATCATGAAAATTCTAGTATGCACGAGTAATATCGATGATTTCTGAACTTGGCACCCAGAGAAGAGGGGGAGGTTCTCGGTGAGTTCAGCCTACAAATACTTGATTACAACGAAAATAACAAGGGAAAACTGGCTCGAGGGCAGAAGCGGTTCTTCAAGCACTGGCAGAGAGGAGAAGGACCGGACCAACCTATGGTCATTGACGGTGCCGTCAAAAATCAAGGTCTTTCTATGGCGTTTAGCACGGCACTCGCTTCCAACGACAAACGTATTGAACAGAAGAAACATGACGACCCGAGATACTTTCCCGTTGTGTGGTTCCCCCGACTCATGGCGCCACGGGTTGGTCTCATGCACGTCGGCAAGGTGCACATGGGCTCTTTCCGACCCCGTGCTAGTGGCGAAAATGGCTGAGAACTCCGAACCCCATGCAAAGAACTGGTTGTTTCAGTTGAATGACGCTCTTGATCATAGTTCATATACAACAATGGTGGTCACCTTATGGGCGATATGGTATGCTAGGAGGAAGGTGATCCATGAGGGTATATTTCAATCTTCGATGCATACCTTATCCTTTGTAGCCTCATATATAAGCGAGCTGGAGCAGATAACCAAACCCGCAAAGTCTAATGCGGCGACAGGGGCTCGAAGGGAAGGCTCGAGGAGCTGGCTACCTTCACCGATGGGAGTGGTAAAGATCAACGTCGATGGAGCCGTGGCGCGCCACAAACGCGGCGGGGCGGTTCGGTTGTGTGCCGAGATCATACAGGTTATACTTGGGCTCTTCGGCGGTGGTTTTCAGAGGCATCACTGATCCCACAACCTTGGAAACATTCAGAGAAGGTTCTAGAACCTTTCGCAGAACCAGTGGAAGGAAAACCAAAATGGGCCGACGGACGGAAAGAGAACGTGATAGGTTGGGGAAGCGGAGTAATTGTGCTCGAGCTTAAATGAGCTCGTTATCGTGCACGTTCGCTAGCGCATCAGGATCTGAGCCAATTGTTTATTCGGGCGTTGGGGGGTCGCTAGGAAAATGCACACTGTAGATAAATACGTACGCAGCAAAGCTTGGTGGCGGGCCAGAGTTAACGTGGAGTTGGGCGTCCGTTCGTCCTAGTGGAGGTGGGACGTGGATCAGAATCGCACGTCCTCATCTGATTCGTGGCCCTGGTGGGGACAGGCAGGATCCAGAGTGTTCTTTGGCTACAAGCGGCGGTCATATGTGGGAACAGGGGTCTCCGGCGGAGAGAAAAGGAGCAGCGGCGGTGATCCAGCATGGAGTTTCTGATGCAGCCATTCAGCAGGTACGTGGATCTTTGCTTGTCTGACGGATTCATCGCAAATCTTACCCGCATGGCTTTGGTGGCTGAAAGGATTTGGTTTTGGCTTGAATGAGATCCAGTGTCCTTGAAGAAGTAGGAGAGAGCTTGGTGCCGGCCCCTGTGCTGAGGGCGCCGACGGGAGGCGGTATGCTGGTGGAGCAGGATATGGCGGTCAGAACCACTGTCCTTGAGGAACTAGGAGATTGGTTGATGCCGGACGCTGTGCTGCCTTGTTCGAGGGGAGATGGTACGGTGGAAGAGCAGCAAGTGGCAGAGCAGCCATGAGCGGTGGACAGCGCGGGTGCTCAGGTTTTTGCTGCCACTGATGCCCTGGTGGGGAGGAGGGATAGTTCGCCTCCGACGTCAGAGCTGTCAACTGCGAAGATGAATCTCCTGGTTGGAACTAGAGGTTAGTGTTGGATTGTATTTCAATCAGTATACTAGGGATTTACATTATAGTTGGAATTGGATAAATCCTACCATTAGAACAACTAGTGATGCTTCAGTTAGGAAGCAGAACCATCTTTGCTGAACCAAGTCAGTTCATATGATAAAATTGCTGATTGCTGATTTGAGGGAGTTAATATGTGGAAGTTACTGAACCCAGACAATTCACATGAGAAGAAATAGTGATTTTGTAGTGATATTCAGGGAATCATGCTTAGTGCCCCATGAGGCATTTCATCTAAGGAAAAATGCTGGTTACTGAAATCCAAACAGTTAATATGTGGAGGCTGTTTTTACAGGCTGAGAATTGGGGCTGCCGCACCGAGCAGAACACCCTGCCCAAATTATGTCAGCGCGTTTGAGAAGGCTAGGAGTTATGCCGACAAACCGGCTGAGAATTTGATCACACCAGTGATTGGCACTACTTTTGACTCTTTGGGTGAGGCTTATGACTTCTATAATTTGTATTCATGGGAGAAAGGCTTCGTCATCCGATATGGGAAGGGCCGGCTGAATCTCGAGAGGACACCCGGGTCTATCTCGCGCACTACTGAAGGTACTGCGATGGCTGTACCTTGAGAGGCACATTGGTGAGGTGAGTATATAGTTGGAGAAGAAATAGTGATGTTGTAAAAATTTGATTGTGTTCTATAGGTGCTAACTCCTGGAATTGAACTGTATTGCAGTACGAGCGGGCTTATCTTAAGAAGCAGATTGCATACGAGGTGATCTCAGTGAAGGGGAACAAGGGTGAGCACCCAAGCTTCATGATCGAGGAAGTGCTGTTCCGATGAAGACCGGAGTGGCTGTCTCATTGTCTGCTTAGTTATATTATGCATTTACCATGAGTTTGCAAAAAACTAGTTATATTATGCATTTACCATCAGTGGTTGTCTCATTATCTGTTTGCAAATAGTTATCTAAAATGGATCCTGAAGGTCGAATACAAATTATATTATGCATTTACCATGAGTGGTTGTCTCATTATCTGTTTGCAAATAGTAAGCTAAAATGGATCTTGAAGGTCCCGTACAAATGCTGCTGCTTTGAAAGACTGAATCTATGAATCTATGAAACTAGAGACAGCATAGATTTGGGAGACTGAATATTTTGATTTATGAATCTATGAAGGTATGCATCTACACCCAGCCTTGAATTGAAAAAAACAATCTAAAAATGTATGCATCTGTCATGACACCGAAACTATGAGGCTATGAATCTCGAGGCAGTATTTTTTTAAAAACTAGGAATATATCCATCTAAACATGTACATTATTCTACATACATTAAAAATACCGCCTCATGTTTAGGAGTATGCATTAGTCTGAATCTTTGAATCTATCCCTTTTTAGGAGTATGCATTAGTCTGAATCTTCTAGGAGTGTGCATTAGTCTGAATCTTTGAATCTATCCATCTAAAAATGTATGCATCAGTCTGAATCTAAAGATTGCAGCTATGATTTTCCATGGCTGAAAGCAGCAGGGGCATGGAGATTAAAATAGATGTACAGGGTACGAACCCGGAAGGCCGGCGCCTCCTGGTGTGGCAAGGCAAGAAGAGTCAGCACCGAATAGCCGTGCAAAATAAATGGTTGGGGTTGGACGCCCGCCGTCTGGTGGTTAACGTCTGAGCCGTGGCTCACAACGTGATGGCCCATCTGATCCGCCGCTGCGAGGAGGACGGACGTCGCATTAAATAGCCGTAGCAGAGTGGACCAGGGTCTGGAAAAAAGGCGTTCATACATCTCCAAATACATGGTAAAATAATTGGGGTAGTGCTTATCTTTGCGCCAGCTGACGGCTGAGATATAGAGTCCATCTGAGCTCGAGCTCAGAATAGACTTTCCCATAGGTTGGTTGCTATTTGGCGACTTAGGCGCGAAATAAGACTGGCCGCTCAGTGCCCTGGCTGGTTCGGACGGATCGGTTACGTAGTCGGCTGGGGTCTGGGGAGCTGCGAACCTGCAATCTGAAACGGATTTGAACCTGCAAATATGACTGCCCCAATCGTGTCACGCGCATATATATTTCACCGCGCGCTGACATCGTCTACCCCAATCCTTCAGCTCCTCGAAACGGGCTCCCCTGACTAATCATCATCATCGTCGTCTGTGCAGCAGGGCAAAGGGATGGAGGAACGAGCCAAGTATGACGACGACAGGCTGAGCGCGCTCCCCGACGACGTCCTGCTCGCCGTCCTCCAGCTCCTCGACGCGGGCACCGCCGTCAGGGCCGGCGCTCTCGCGAGGCGATGGAGGCACCTCCGCTGTCTGCTTACCGATCTCACCATCGACGTCGCCGACCTGGTACCACGTTCTCCGGACCCCTCCTCTCCTTGTCAGACGGTACACGATATGATGACGGCCTACACCGCCGCCACGGCGTGGTTCCTCACCCCGAACAAGCAACGGAGCATCAAGAGCTTGCGCCTCACCTTCTACCTCGTGGACTCTTACCTGCGCTCCATCGGAGACGCCGTCGCCAAGAGCGGCGGGAGCGCGGCCGGGCCCCTGGAGTTCACCATACTGGCGGACGTCGACGTCCTCACCGTCAACGACGCGGAGCGCGCCATGCTTGCACGGCGCTTCATGTCGTTCCTCGCCGCTTGCCCCGTCGCCTTCAGTGGGCTCACCAGACTCTCCCTGCAGAACCTCTGCTTCGGCGACTCCGATATCTCGGATCTCCTCGGCACCTGCAGTCGACTAGAGCTGCTCTCCTTGAGCCAGTGTGGCTCTAGCTCCGAAGACATGCTACTACGCATAGACGCTCCGACATCTTCGTTCCGGACCTTGGAAATCCGCGAGCCTTTCTTCCATGGAGTCGAGCTGACCAATGTGCCGAAACTGGAGCGGCTTTTCTGCGACGAAGACGTCGTTAGCTTTCACGGGAGCTGCCCAGCAGTGCGGTTTGGACATGTTCCTTGCCTTGATGACGTATACCTCTCAACGATACATCTGCGTTACTACTATGAAAATCCAAGAGAGCTCTTCCCCGCCTTCAGTAACCTCAGAGCTATTTATCTCAACAACTTGGGAACTCACAGACTGGTGGGGACTCTTTTCATCCTACAAGCCGCACCTTTGCTGAACAAACTCTCTATTAAGGTACGCCTTCTTTTCTTCCCTAAAATTCGTGTTGCAAAGTGCAAACACATGCAAGCCCATGTACTTTGAGGCATTATTGTATTCAGTATGCATTCAGTATCCATCCTTATTAGTGCTATTTTTTTGTACTACTTCATTTTTGTGTGCGGCATAAAGTTTGATCTTATTTCCTCGTCGTAATATAAACAGCTTTCTAAGCATGTTCAAAGTCCTACTATCTTATATTTGATCAAACTTATAGAGAACAATATCAACATCTATGACATCAGGTAAATACACCAAGAAAAATTAGATGTTGATCCTCTTCTCTACAAAGTTGGTCAAATTTGGTAAGCTATATCAAAAAAAAAGAGACATTTGGACTTACGATAAAACTAGAAAATTCATTGCTTTTGCTACAAAGAAAGTAGTAACAACAATGGAATTGCATGGCTACTTTATACATACAAGAATGTATAATAAACAAAGTTAGTACTACATGATTATCACTTTCTATGCCAAATTTAGTGTTAGCATTATCATGTAACCAGTCAATAGCTTATTTTACAACTATTATTTCGCAATCAAAGATAATTTTTTTTGAATTGCACATGTTCTAATTATTCTGGCATGTTCTTGTTTCTATGTACGATTTGTTCTGAGAAGCTATACCAGCCTTTTTTTATTCCCCCGGATCGCTATGACTACAATACCAACACGGAGGGGGAAACACCAAAATTTGAGCATCGCAACTTGAGCTTCCTGGAGTTGAAAGGCTATGCTGGGCTTAGAGAAGACATCAAGGTGGTGCGATACATCTGGCTCGTCACGGAGCGTGCCGCGTGCCTGAAGAAAATCCACTTACTTGAACAATGTCCGCTTCGAAATTGCTATGGTGCTAGATGTGCATGTCATGTCGATGAGCCACATACGACTCTATTAAGCGAGGCACTCTCTAGTAGAGCAGCTTCGTCTCCAGAGATAACCGTAGAATTAATCAATGTCCCATGTTGAATTAGTTCGTGCAACTGTGACATTAGCCCCTAGCTTGTGCAGCTTCTTTGTTCATGGTTGATTCTGGTTGTAATCCATAAATTGTTTCTAAGCAAACGGTTTTGAGTTGGGATGTAGTTCATCGTGAAACGAAATTTCTCTCTCCTGATTGGGAATACAGGGTGGGTACTTAGTAGTGTTTTGATTTGTTGACGAGTTGTTTATAGACAGGAGAGTTTTAGGACCACGGTCCACCCGAACACACGGTCGGTCATGTTGGATGTAGTACTGTTATCCATGTGGATTTGTGTCCTATTAGAAATTTGAATTCTTGATTTGCGTACGAACCTCTGGCTCCAAATCGGGGGAAGGGCATTCTGTCGGTGTCAAAACCGGCGAATCTTGGGTAGGGGGTCTTGAAATTTGCGTCTAAGGATCGAAGGTAATAGGAGGCTGGGGACACGATGTTTACCCAGGTTCAGGCCCTCTTGATGGAGGTAAAACCCTACGTCCTGCTTGATTGACTTTGATGAGTATAGGGGTTACAAGAGTTGATCTACCTCGAGATCGTAATGACTAAATCCTAGATGTCTAGCCTGTATGATTATGACTTTCTTCACGGACTAAACCCTCCGGTTTATATAGATACCAGAGGGGGCTAGGATTTGTACAGAGTCAGTTTATAGAGAAAGAAATCTTCATATCCGAACGTCAAGGAGAGTCCCATCCGGACACGGGGGAAGCCTTCTATCTTGTATCTTCACGGCCCACAAGTCCGGCCCACGTCACATACCCCGGACGCCTGTGGACCCTCTAATCCAGGACTCCCTCAGTAGCCCCTAAACCAGACTTCAATGACGATGTACCCGATACACAGATTATCTTCGGCATTGCAAGGCGGGTTCCTCCTCCAATACTCCAAAGTAGCTCGACCAAGAGAACTATATCCGGCTCTGTACAATAATCACAACCCTGAACAACAAAGGAAAAATACTTAAGGAAAAAATAGGTCATGTCTTCTGACAACTTTTTCGGTGAGGCATTGAATCCCAGCCTTATTTCAGCCTCCCGTTTCGCGTTTCGAGACGCAACTCCCAGCGACACGTCTTGTCAAAGCAAAGATCGTGTCCCCTTATTGCGGGATTTTCATCAATGAAGGCTTGGGTAATCCAACCGTGCCATCCGCTCGACCCCTTGGGAATAGGCAAATTTTAAGGCTTGCACGAGGTCGTTTGATATTCGTTGCCTTTATAAAAGGATAAGGACCCATCTTTTTCCCCACGCCTTCTCCTTCCTCAACCTTCCCATCTCTAAGCTCCAGCGCCCAAGTCCCAACCCTTCTCCATTGCCACCACGCGCTTCGACCATGTCCGGATCCGGTTCTCAAGGCAAGTGGGTGGCCTCTTCCGTGACGAAGAAGGATATCCAGGGACTCCGGGAGGCGAGGTACTTAACCGCGGAAATCGCACACAGGCTTCCGACAAAGGGGCAAGTCAGCCCTACTCCAGAGCCTGGCGAAAGGGTCGTGTTCATCCCCCACTTCCTCCGCGGGTTAGGGTTTCCCCTTCACCCCTTTGTTCGCGGCCCCATGTTCTACTACGGGCTAGATTTCCAGGATCTAGCCCCGAACTTCTTTCTCCATATCTCGGCGTTCATCGTCATGTGCGAGGCATTTCTCCGCATCCCCCCACACTTCGGCCTATGGCTCAAGACCTTCCACATGAAGCCGAAGGTGATCGACGGGGAGCACGCGGATTGCGGCGGAGCCATGGTGAGCAAGCTTCCTCACGCTATCTGGCCTAAAGGGGCCTTTGTGGATACCGTTAAGACATGGCAGCAGGAGTGGTTCTATATCACCGAACCCCGTGGCACTAAGTGGGCGGCCACTCCTACATTTAGATCCGGGCCCCCTCTGCGACTCGCTTCATGGACCAACAAGGGTCTGGACTGGGGATCGATCGATGAGGTGCTGATGTTGCAAAAGTGCATCAAAAGTATCATAGAGAAGAACACCCGTCTCACTGACGTGATTCAGGTGATGCTCATCTGCCGAACCCTTTCCTGCCAGGGACGACCTCTCCGTTTATGGGAGTTTAATACAGAAGGGACGCGAACTCTGCGCCAATTCTTCGGCATGACGCACAAAGATATCTGGAAGTTGCTCTTTAAATCTCAAAAGTCGTGGCCGGAGATGTCCGAAGACGTTGGTCTTGACTGCAACCATCCCCCCCCCCTCGGTAAGGGCTAAGCTTCAGCCTATAGCTTGGCTTGTTAATCCAGGGGACACACTAACCATTCCATCCTTTACACAGGTCTGGACAAAGAAGGCAGAGCGGATCAGGTGTCCGCCCCCCTCCCTTCCTGAAGGCTCAGCCGATTCCCTCCTAATGAGGATGCTGGTCCCGGCGCCATACCAGGTGCCGGTAAAGAAGGATAAGAACAAGGAGGCCGAAAGTGGCCTCCACCATGACGGTACCTCGGACACTATGTCCGGAGGAACCGAGGCTCCCTCCTCTCACGAGGACAAGGAGGAGGGGGAAGAAGATAATTGATACGTCTCCAACGTATCGATAATTTATGAAGTATTCATGCCAATATATTATCATTCTTGGATGTTTTACAATCATTTTATAGAAACTTTATATCATTTTTTGGGACTAACCTATTGACCTAGTGCCCAGTGCCAGTTGCTCTTTTTTGCTTGTTTTTTTACATCGCATGAGGTCAATATCAAACAGAGTCCAAACACCGCGAAACTTTACGAAGATTTTTTTGGACCAGAAGGAACCCAATGGGCCAGAGCTGCACCTGGGGGTGCCCCGAGGGGGGCACAACCCACCAGGGCGCGCCAGGGCCCCCTGGCGTGCCTAGGTGGGTTGTGCCCACCTTGGTGGCCTCCCGTACCCCCTCTTTGCACTATAAATTCCCAAATATTCCGAAACCCTTCGGGGGTTAACCTAGATCAGAAGTTCCGCCGCCGCAGGGCTCCGTAGCCACCGAAAACCAATCTAGACCCGTTCCGGCACCCTGCCGGAGGGGGAATCATCTCCGGTGGCCATCTTCATCATCCCGGCGGCCACCATGATGAGGAGGGAGTAGTCCACCCTCGGGGCTGAGGGTTTGTACCAGTAGCTATGTGTTTAATCTCTCTCCTGTTCTTGAGATGTCACGATCTTGATGTATCGCGGACTTTGTTAATATAGTCGGATCATATGGTGTTTTCCCCTCTCTATCTTGTTGTGATGAATTGAGTTTTTCCCTCTGAGATATCGTTGTCATCGGATTGAATACTTTTATGGATTTGAGAACACTTGATATATGTCTTGTAATTGAATACTCGTGGTGACAATGTGGTATCGTATTGATTCACTTGATATATGTTTTGGCACTCAACTTGCGGATTCCCGCGGTGACATTGGGGTAATCTATGCATAGGGGTTGATGCACGTTCTTGTCCTTGTTTCTCCGGTAGAAATCTTGGGGCACTCTTGTAGTTCTTTGTGTTGATTGAGTATTATGAATATGAATATGCTTTGGTGTTATTCTAGTACGAACTCTAGGATAGATTGAACGGAAAAAATAGCTTTGCGTTATTTTAGTACGAACTCTTGAATAGATCAAACGGAAAGAATAGCTTTGAGGTGGTTTAGTACCCTACAAAGAATTCCTATCTTTTGTTCTCCGCTAATAGGAACTCGCCAGTGATTCTTCATTACACTTTGAGGGATAATCATATGATCCAACTATGTTAGCACTGTTGAGAGATTGCACTAGCGAAAGTATGAACCCTAGGCCGCCGGAGATGATGGAGAGCGAAACGCCCCCGCAAGTTTCCTCGCCTCCTAGGGCAGATGACATCGAGGTGTCATCCCAGAGGATTTCTTTGGATCGTCGAGAGGTGCAGGGGACCATCAATACGGCACCGGAGGGTAATACCTCGGTCGTTGAGGACACAGGGGACGCGACCCCCGTGAAGACCCGGGATGGGGGCCCTGGATTGTTCGGCCCCAAGCCGAATACCGCTTTGGAGACGGATCCGGAGTCGAGTGAGCGGCCCCCTTCAAGGGAGGGGGAGTGCCTATTCTTGCGGCGACCTCCATGAACTCGGAGGCACTGAACATGCTGAGGGACGGACTGCGGAGTGCGTCCTGATACGTCTCCGTCGTATCTATAATTTTTGATTGTTCCATGCCAATATTCTACAACTTTCGTATACTTTTGGCAACTTTTTATATTATTTTTGGGACAAACATATTGATCCAGTGCCCTGTGCCAGTTCCTGTCTGTTGCATGTTTTTGTTTTCGCAGAATATCCATATCAAACGGAATCCAAACGGGATAAAACGGACAGAGCTTATTTTTGGAATATTTGGAAAATTCTGGAAGAAAATCAACGCGAGACGGTGCCCGAGGTGGCCACGAGGCAGGGGGCGTGCCTACCCCCCTAGGCGGTTGATGCCCTTCTTCGGACGCAAGAAAGCTAATTTTTGGAGAGAGAAAATCGCGGCGAAGGTTTCGATCCAATCGGAGTTACGGATCTCCATATATATACAAAACGGTGAAAGGGCAGCAGGGAGGAACGCAGAAATAGAGAGATACAGAGAGACATATCCAATCTCGGAGGGGCTCTCGCCCCTCCCACGCCATGGAGGCCATGGACCAGAGGGGAAACCCTTCTCCCATCTAGGGAGGAGGTCAAGGAAGAAGAAGAAGGAGGAGGGGGGGCTCTCTCCCCCTCGCTTCCGGTGGCACCGGAGTGCCACCGGGGCCATCATCATCACCGTAATCTTCACCAACAACTTCACCGCCATCATCACCAACTCTTCCCCCCTCTATGCAGCGGTGTAAACCCTCTTTTACCCGCTGTAATCTCTACTTAAACATGGTGCTCAACGCTATATATTATTTCCCAATGATGTATGGCTATCCTATGATGTTTGAGTAGATATGTTTTGTCCTATGGGCTATTTGATGATCGTGATTGGTTTGAGTTGCATGCTTTATTATTGGTGCTGTCCTAT